CACATGGGGACCAAGCGGGAATTGAACCCGAGACCTCGGTGTTGGTCATTGTTGTCAGCACCACTGCTCAAACCACTGAGCTAACAGTAAACCAATAATTAAAAGAATCATTAACTATATACATACATACACAAAACTGATATCAAACCCAGCTCCCTCACCTCGATATCAATTTCCATTGATGCTGCAGGGCAAGTGGCGCCAGAGAAGCCCCAGGCTCAGTGGCAGAGGGGAACTGGACACAGGAGCTGAATTTGGAAACTCAAGATTGGAATCAAAGGCAAAAGACTGGATGGAGTGCTCCTTAGACACAGACTATTGAAGAAGAGATCTTAATCCTCATGATTCCTCAGTTTTATATTAAATGTTACGTATATCGAGTGGAATACTCTTGTTGGTCACCTGTCCTGTCTGTTCCTCACCGGAGGTGCAACCTTTTACTTCCTTGTGACCCCTTTTACTTCCCGGCCCCCCCAGCGTGGCACAATGACCTTGGCCACTGTAGGAATAAGTATAAGCAAGAGCCTTTCTGCATACAGATCCTAGGCAATAACTGTAAACACCCAGCATTATCCATTCTATTAGCAGGCACTGTCTGCAAAAACATGCTGCTGACTTCAGAAAGTGCAGTCTCTCAGAGGAGACTGAGCTGAAAGGTAAAATCACTGAATATAATTGGTTCTGTTTAGCTCGAACTAAGACACTGCCTCAGCTCAAGCTCCACAACTGTGGTGAGTACATACCTGAGCTTGCTCTTCGCATGGCCTCGGGCCTTATTTCACTAGGTGCTGCTGAGCAGAGCTGTGTGTGATCGTCCTGCACAGCCCATATTTATCCTCTGCTGTCATATTGCTGGAGTGTCCAAAACCATGTCACTCCCAGCAGTGAGGGAGGAAAAGGTGCAGGTTACGATGCTCTGAGTTTATACCATTCTCAAACTGGTCTTTGCCTTTGGTATGGTAAAGCTGTGAACATACAGATGAATCACAGAATCACAGAATGGCTTAGGTTGGAAGGGACCTTAGAGATGATCTAATCCAACCTCCCTGCCATCCAGATGCAATCCAGAGGTACAGCATACATATTTATGCAGGAAAAAGCATGGGTATTAGCCATCTACTCTAATATCAGTGAATTCCTCAGCCAATATTTAATGCATTTAACCATTTTGCAAAGGCTTACCTGAATCCTGTATATATAGATTACTAAATGGTCTATAGAATAAATATTCACATACTTGTATTTCCCATGAAATACAGGATCATTTTGCTTTCAGTTCAGAGATAGCATAATAACACCTGAGATCTCCAGCCAATAACAAACCCATTGCATTAAGTAGAGGAAAACCAAGAAGACAATCAGAAGTAGTCCTCTTCTTCAGGAATATTTAGTCTAAAGAAAGACAGTAGATAAAAAGTGGTAGAAAGGAAATTTTAGTAGATAGGAAAATGAAGGTTAGATGGGCTATTTCATTTGCCAAAGAAGGGACAGGATTGGCCTATGTAATAATTTGTAGACAGAAATGGCTACGTGATTTCAAATCTGGAACTGCTTCATATCTCACAGCTTGGAAAATAAGCTCTTATTTACTCATCAAAATTACTTGGCCAAGAAAGGTAAGGGGATAATCAGAACGGAATTGAAGAATCTGTACACATGCTCTAAGAGCTGAGATGCCCTCAATTCTCAGAGATTTCCATCACTTGTGATTGCAGGTACTGTCCCACTTTCCTCATTAGGTAGGATTTGATTCACCCCACATTTTTCCATTACCTTGTACATCTTAATTGCAGGAGGCAGATTTTTTTAGTTCTGCAGTGATTATCATGATGCAGTGCTAATATTTATTGGTTCTGAGGTACTGCAGTGCAGATTACTTTGTATAATCATTTGGACATAAATACCAAATTCAGCACAGATTCATAAATAGGTTGCTATTACTCCAGAAAAAAATGTTTGTGGGAAAATGAGCTACATCCTGAAAAGAATTGCTCAGTCCTACCCCCAAAAATGTACTTAAGCTTGTCAAAAATGCAATAAAAATCAACTGGAGACCTAGGAAATGAAGCTTTGTACCTGGCTCACACACATTTTCACCTCTGTACCTCTGACTCCGGCTGTCTGCAGCTCCTGGGAATAATACTGCATTGAAGCAAGACATTTTTATTTCCATCTTTGCAAATTTTTATCATATGAGAATATATCCCTCCAACTCATGATGACCTTGTGCCAGAAAATGTTCTTGACTGAAGACAAGACTCACGGATCAATCTAAGAATGTGTATTCAAGTTCCAGGAAGAAAAATAGGCACTAACACCTAAGTGAACAATGTTCACTAAATCATATTTCTTGCAGAGATAGCCTTATAATATTTGTATTTATTTTTATTTTATCCTGACTACCTTTAACCTAGTGCGTTCAATCTTCCCTTAAAAATATCATTGACATATATAGGGTTACTTATATGCTTCAGGTCTGACATGCCTGAGCACTTTGTGAAATGGGTTGAAAATCACTTTCAAATCACTTTCAGGCTTAAGTAATTTTTTAAAGACTGGCATTTTTTAAGAGCATATTGTGGTATATTAAAGAACAAAAATTTTCTTTTGTATCAGTTTATGAGATGTTCCCCTTAACTACAGAGTCTTGGGGTACTGTAAACCAACAGTCAGACTTGGCAGATTGGATTTGCCCCTCTATAGAAAAGTGAGGGAGTTAAAATCTCAGGGAAAGGTTTTCTCCAGCTGCTATATTAAAATTGCCTCGCAACTCCATGACACTTGCCAGCAGCTTCTATGAAGAGCAAAGCAGCCTCATTACAAATCATCAGGTGAACTGAATGATGTTCAGTGTTTGAAGTCAGAATAATAATTCTATAAAATTGAAGCACAAAGCCTGGTGGAGACTGTTCCTGTAAGAATTGAGTTATTATATTTTTAGGCAATCATATACAATAAAGCAGCTGAAATACCGTTTCATAATAAATACTATTGCAGATGCAAATCTGATTCTTTCTAATGGCTACTATAATTAACTGCACGGCTTGTGAGCTGTTAATTTTGAGGATGAATAATTGGTTAAACCATGTTTTGTGTGTTGCAATGTAAAACGCTTGTTCAATTTTCCACTTAATTTCAATTAAAATGGGGTTTACATGTACTCCACTGTTACACATTTTATGCCTATTATTTTTAATTAGGAAAAAGCAATACCTTGATAGAACAGAACAAATGAACAACACTGTGTGTTGTTTCCAAGGTTTTTTTCTATTACCAGATATTTCAAGCTCATATCACTTAACTATCCAAAAATGTTAATCACTGTTCCTGAAGAACTGGGAGTGCCAGCTCCTGCACAAAACAAAAGGGAAAAAAGGATCTCTCAGGCCCCTCATTCACTTATTGACCTCTATAAAATGATTTTCAGTTTGAACTATATATCTTTGCTACCCTTCCTCATGTTTTCAGTATTCCAAAATGTTTTAGTTATTAGAACTGTGTGGTGATGTCCTTTTTCACGTCTGAAAAGGTAAGCTGGTAGGTGCACCTATTTTATAATGGGATCAATCACCAACTAGAGACTCTTACTCATCTCCACCAAAGGTGCCTGGACATTGGACTAGGTGCCTGTCTTCTGCATGGATGTTGTTAAACTAGATGAGTTCTACCCTTAGAGTCATATACTAGTTTTCTATTTCTGCATTTCTATTTTATATTTTCTATATTTCTTTCAAGAAAAATATTGTCTGTGCATCAGTCTTTCATGACATAAATCTCTTCTCACATTATGCAGCTTAGATGAGCAGGTGTAAGCTCCATCCCTGCCACCTGCCACTGCCTCTATGGGAGGCAGCTACTCACAGAGGGGACAGAGAGGGTTATTTGCATTCCCTTTGCTCCTGGCTGCCCACACACAGGACTCACCAGCTCCTGTGGATTGCTGCTTGCCTGATAAAAGGAGAACAAATGTTCCAGTAGAGGTCTTTGTTTGTCTTCCCTCCAGAGCCAAATCTTTCCAGGTGTCTGACAAATTCCCAGCAGTATTGATGCAGTTGCTTTATCTCTGACTCTTTTCACTTCCCCAGTATTAAAAACCTGGTGGTGGAGTGCGGCTGGCAGCTTTGCTGGTGACGTATGAGGCAGAAAACCTCCAGCTTACTCTTCTTTAGCTGGGCTGGTGCTGCCAACAGAGTGAATCTGTGTCATTAGTATCACTGGGCTATATATGAAAAAAAAAAGAGGCCTTCGGAGTGCTACTGAATGAATTTTTATTGTGCATTTCACAGAAGCTTAAATAGAATATATAAATCGAGATGTTATGTTTTAAAAGCTAAACAAAGCAAGGTTAACCTATTCCAGCCAAACAGTCATTCCCTTACCCACATCATCAAACCCTTTGCAGACATTTTATTGCACTCATCTGCATTGCATCGCTGTCCTCCCATTATAAATAGAGAGGAGCCAGAGGCAGAAGTAGGAGAGTTATTAGTGCAGGAACTTTTGGTAAAGGAGTCGGTCTGTTTGCACAGGATGCAGGATGTCTCTGAAAAAAACCTGTTGTCTATAAGGTTACTACACAATAGATCCTATGTTAGCATTTACACCTCAGCTAAAGATTTCTGAGGATTTTGAGAGATTTCTGCAGGCATGGAGAAGTTCTTGGATTCCCCAAAACATTATATAACTGTTAATGGCGCATGCTTTAAAAACACATGGAAGAGTAGTTCAAAATCAATGTATGTGATGTGTGGAGCTGCACAGAGAAAGGCATCAGCTGAATAATAAAATATTTAAGGGCATCCTCTTCTCTTATTCTTTTTTCTTTCTTTTTCTTTTTTTAATGTGGTCAGTGTGTGTACCAGTAAGAGCATGTGCTATGAGCTGTTTCAAACACATAAAAAGACTTCCCACCATTAATAACCAACCCACTAGATGTCTGAAGAGCTGATTGTGTTTCAGTCCCGTGCACTAACCACTCGCTTTACAATGCTCCCTGGCAGGCCAGATGACTCTGAGGACGCAGCACGTTCAGGACTCCAAGATGGGCTTTGTAATCAATGCAATATACTCGATGGCGTACGGCCTCCACAACATGCAGATGTCACTGTGCCCAGGCTACGTGGGCCTCTGTGACGCCATGAAGCCCATAGATGGTCGGAAACTCCTGGAATCCCTCATGAAGACTAACTTTACCGGGGTCTCTGGGGACATGATCTTGTTTGACGAGAATGGAGACTCACCAGGACGGTAATGTTGGCATTTGTCAAAATGTTTAATACCAGACATGTTAACTGTACATAGTAGGTCCATGCAGACCTGATGCCAGAGCTAAGATCTTATACTTTTATTTTCACATTTTCTGATTTTCTGTGCCTGTTTTCCAGAATAACTTTCTTTTTTTTTTTTTTTTAATGTGCATTAATGTTAAAGATGTGAACTTTCAGGCATACAATCTGCCTTCATTAATTTGCATTTTTATCTGTAAAATGTAAAGCAATATCAGAAATATAGTATTGATTTGTCTGGGATTTTTTTTCCATCAGAATTATTAAAAATCTGCTTCCATGGAAGCCTTTCCATTTGCTTAACTAACTGAGCTATTAATCCATACGGTGCTGTTGTAAGGCAAATTGAATTTTTAAACAAAGCCTCTTTCGCTGACAACTTACAACTTACATACGTACATCTATGAAATCTAAAACAAGTTTTTCTTTTTCTACTACATATGTTCAGTATCCATAGAAATGCACATTAGAAAGAGTAATGAAGTTTTTTTCTGGATTTCTGCCTACTGAACTCTCAGAACAGCAAGTGTGATATTCAAAGTATATTTTTTCCCCTATATATCACTGGGTAGATTCCTGCCTCATTCACTGCTTTTGCTCCAGTTTGACTGATGCAGCCCTTTCTGTTTACATTATTTTGAAGTTTTTAACCATCTTTGCGATGGCACCATATAAACAAATATCTAGAAGGAAAATTGTTCATCCTGTACACTCATTTAAATTTTTTTTTTTCCCATCAATGTGAACTGAAAGGAAAGCTTTAACTTCGTAGTAGACATAGGTAGGAAAAGGTAAATACATTGATCCAAAAATTTTGACATTGCCAAAAATTTCTGCAATTTCAGAACTGATTTTTATCCACTTATTCAAAAATTATTTTCAGCCTGGTTTTGGTGAGCAAGGCTGTCTTCCTCTAAGTATTTCTCTTTTTACAAATAACTGAATTCTGAAGAAAAGTGCTCAGTCTTTTTCTGACCAAATAATTTTTAAAAGACTTCTCCCAAACTTCTGTTAAAGGATTCCCTTTTGGTTTTAATGGTGCTCAGATGCAGTGAAATGCATTCTAGCTTATTTCCATCTGTTTTACTCAACTTGCCAAGAGACTGAAGACTGCCACAAAGAAACAATGACAATAGCAATGGCAGAATCTACATATTACACACCTTCAGCTTTACCTTTTCCTCATCTTGGCATACTTAACAGTAATGATTTAATTCCATTTGTTGCAAGGAATTTAATTTAATGTCTTGGATCTTTTAAAATTCAATTCTAAGAAAGATGATGAAGGAATTATATCATCTGCAGTCATTTGCTCAGTCGCAGTAGGACATTACTTTTCACTGAAGAGAATGGGGACACTGCTGATGGTGAAATTCAGGGTAGCATGACTTCAAGGAATTCTCACTGGACTTTAGTGAGATACAGTAGTGTTCTGTCTACTCAAATTAAAAACGATCCCAGAGTCTGTTTACTTTTGAAACACAGTTCTTTGTTCCTTCTTCTAGAATAGTCACATCATTAAATCCAGTCTATGTGCCTAAATTAACCAACTGAATCAAAATTTACTTTTTCATGAAAAAAAAAGGCTTTATAGGAAGTGCCACCTCTAACACCCAGATTTTGAGTAGTTTGTAGTCTTTTAATCACTGTCAAACACTATTTGTAACAGCTGGGACATGGTGAAGTCATACTGGAACAACTCATCGCCCCTGTTTGTTTGCATTGATAGCTGCATCTTCACTCTGTAAAATGGAAATTTAAATCCTTGCAGCTGTACTGTGGTGGTGGTGTTAAGCAGCAGAACATAAAAAGCCTTTCTGACCCAGATAGCTCAGATATTTGATGTATAGCAAAAGGGTTTTGATATTATACAACAGATGATTAATCCCACAAGATGCTTTGAATCCTGGCCCTATTCCAAAGTCCTTTATGTGTATGTTGAGCTTTAAGCAGATAGTCTAGTGGAGGGCTTGTTTTAGGTGAAACAGAAGACCTGAAAAAAGCAAATGAGTGTGGAAGGAACAGCCATTATTTCTCAGGAAGACAACAACTATCTGTAAATACTATTGAAAATACAAAGAAGAAATTGAGAAGGAAAGATAAGGAAGAAAAAATCCAAGATGCTGATATTTCAGCTGTGCTGCCAGTAAAGTATGGATTCTCAGTAACTTCATGGCACTTTTGTTTTGAAACAAGTGGTTTGCACTGTGATTAGGGCACTGCTGGAAATTTGCTGTTGTACCATCTGGTCTCTCCTATCCTAAAGTGACAAACTGTCCCTGTGGTATTTCAAGGAAGCTCCAGGGAACCAGTGACTCATGAACCTCTACTATAGCAATCGAGTTACTGAGTCTGACTATTGCTACCAGTTCACCAATGCCGGTCTCTGCAGAGAAGAGAGACAACACATATAGAGACAATAGTTTTTTTAATTTGTTAGATTTCTTGCCAGTATTCCCCTTGGGACATATGCATGGAACTACTACTGAAAGGAAAATTGGTTTAGGTCCTGTGTCTAGTAAAGCATTGGCAGTACTTTGCTCATCTGCCCATGAAACTAAGAATTGACAGCTTTAACAAAGCAATACTCAGAGAAGTGTTACAATGTCCTGACAATACTAAATAAAAATCCCACAGTGGCTTCTAGGCCAACTTTTTGCTTAGTCTGCTTAATCTTTGAACAGACCGTTACTGTGGCTGAGAATCTCAGAAAATAACTTGCTTGATAACCATGCATAAAAATTTGTTTATTCAAGTTTGGGCATGTTATCTGGATTCAATTCTTTTGTGTCAGCCTGGCATTTACATCTCCAGTTTTGCTGAGGTCATTCCAAAATCCAGAAATATCATATTTTTTTCTTCCTAGCTGTATCATTGCTCATTTCTTCTTCTTTTGGAAAGACTCAAGAAAGACATGATAAGCATATTATTATATTCCCTATTCAATAAGCCTCTACTTTAATTTTGTTTCATAGGTTGCTTGCAGTCCTGATCTTGACTTGTGTGTGAGGTGGCATTGAGTCCTTGCCATAGTTTTCCCACTGTGACAGTTGTGACTATGTTTCCCGATGCAATGCATCCTAAGATCTATGAATGCAGCATATTATAAAATAGTCCTACTGTGAACTTCTTTATGTCGGCATGGAAAAATATTGATAATAGATATAGTATAGCTGCTACTTGACAGTCTTAAAAGTATTTCCTCAAATCTTAAGAGAGACACTTCGTTATCCTAGTTAAGAGATTGATATATTGAGCTGATATTTTTACTAATGTGTACATTGGACTTCATAAAACATATTCTGACAATATCACTCTTAATCCAACCCTGTCCATATGCTTTTCCTTGGGGACTAATTTTGTGCCTGCTGCCAGGTAAAAACTATCTTCTCATCTGTTAACCTGTCAGGTTTTCTAAACCTGTGATTCTGGGAATCTGCTCAGTCTGTATCAGTGAATTTCATGTTGCTTAGTCAGATTACTGCAAAATCCACTAAGGAAGAGGTCAACAAATGCATGACATCATTTCTTCAGAAGCTGCCCAGCTTTCCAAGCATGACTTACAAATAAGGGCTGAAAGAACTGTCCTGTGAGGCAGAAAGGTGGCCCTGGTGTTCAGCATATCAGGAGGAGGCTAGTGAGTCTTACGTAGCTTCACAGACTTTCTGTAAGACTTTGTGGGAGATAAAAATAGAGTAGGAGGATGAAGAACATGAACCATAAAATTCTGATCAGCTCCAGCTCTGCTCTTAACACTTCTGTTTCAGGATAATAAGGCAATCTGACCAAAAAGCAGCCTAAGCCTGAGGCATGAATACTGCTTCTCTTCCATACAATACTGTACAAGGAATGAAATGTGTTCTATTCAGTGAGGAATTATATAAAAATGAAGGGGGGTGTATGGATGGGAGAGAAGAGCATTTAATACTGCAATGCTGTAGAGAAAAAAGGCCCCCAAAAGGCAAGTCTCAGCTTCATTCTTCAAATGCTTGGACTACAAGGTGCCTCTTGATAAGAAGATGTTCCTGAAGCCTACAACAAGTCCCAGAGTCCTGGAGTCTGAGCCTCAAGAATGATGTCCGATTCCTCTCTTGGTAACACATCAAATTGCATCTTGCAGTCTTACAGCATGGGAAGTTTCCTCTGATTCCACGGTCCTAGGTTGCTTCTGCCTCGGTTTAGGAGATTAGCAGTCTTCAGTCTTCCTCTCTCAGGAGGTGAATAAGCATTAGCAGACATTGAGGAGCATCATTTTAGGTTTAGATTTCTCTGTTTGCTACAGAGGGAGCCTAGGACAGCCAGGGTTCCCTATGTTTCATGCAGGCTTCATGCTGAAGGTTGCGCAAGATGAATCCTGTCTAGCTCATTTCACTGTTTTCCTTAAGCAGATACAGTACCTCTCAAAATCTCAGTCAGTTAACCTCCAAGTGTCCAGGGAACTTTCATAATGATAGAAAAAAACAACTTAAAATACAAGAGAAAATAAGGATTATGATATTAAAAAAATACTGGCAAAGATTCAAGGGCAACCATAATGCTTGAAATTTTGCCTTCTTTCTTTCAAGAAGATTGATTTTGACCATATAGTGTTCCTTTATGTTGAAACATTTCATGTGGTTCTCCTCAATCCAGCTACGTTTCCCTTTTGTGTTTCCAAAGATATGAAATCATGAATTTTAAGAAAATGGGGAAGGACTACTTTGATTATATCAATGTTGGCAGCTGGGACAACGGTGAGCTGAAAATGGATGATGATGAAATATGGTCAGAGAAAAATAATATCATCAGATCTGTGTGCAGTGAACCCTGTGAAAAAGGTCAAATTAAGGTAAATATATTCTCCATTTACTTCAGTAGTGTGGAATGCATCACTTTGAAATTTGAAACCATTGTTATTCTTGATTTTTACGCGGAGATTATGCCACACCGTAATAAAAATGTACAGATTTATGTATTTAGCTCTTATTTGTATCACAGTCATCCCACAATTTTCAGAAGTTGTCATTTTTTGTACTTCTATATCAGTAAACTACTAAATTTTTTATACTTATATTCCAAATGCTTTAAAACAGATATTGTTTTGTTGTTTGGGGGTGGAGAGTTTCTGCATATTTTTACAACATTTCATTCAGTCGACTGCAAATCCCTGACTGGGACTTGCCAGCACAATTGCAGGTAAATTACAGAATCATAGAATGGTTTGGGTTCAAAGGGACCTTAAAGATCATCTAGTTCCAACCCCTCTGCCATGGGCAGGGACACCTCCCACTAGACCAGGTTGCTAAAATCTCCATCCAGCCTGGCTTAAACACTCCCAGGGAGGGGGCATCCACAGCTTCTCTGGGCAACCTACGTCAGTGCCTCATCAATGTTACAGTAAAGAATTTCTTCCTTATGTCTTCTCTAAATCTATCCTAATCCAGTTTGAAAACATTACCCTTTGTACTATCCCTACATTCCTTGATGAAGAGTCCCTCCTCTTCTTTTCTGTAAGCCCTCTTTAAGTACTGGAAGGCTGCTATAATATCCCCTTGGAATTATAATTAATAATCACTGCTGTGTCAGTGCTAGACATAGACATCTAGACTGGAATGTTATTACTCGGACTTTAAGTCTGAGGTATCATCCGAGAATATTGATAACTACCACTACTTAGAACTTCAGCAAATCATAGAATCATAGAATCATAGAATCATAGAACGGCCTAAATGTAGGTAACATTTTTTTTAGTCATACCTAGTTTACTCCTTCATTTCTCAGGTTTTTGAATTTTTCTTCCTCCCTTTCCATGTTGCAGTAAGGATGGTTGATGAATCTGTCACATATTAATTGTACTCTGTTATCCTTCAGCATCCCATGACACTTACTGCAGAGCAGTTAATATATTGCAAGTCTAACTTGCAGTCATTTATATAAAAAGCCTGTGGACTGAGGGGATGGGCAGAATGGCTCAGACTGAAGAAAAAACAGCTATAATTCCTGATGTCTCACTGGAAGCTGGATCACTTTTCTCCTGTGTTTACACGGCATGCCTGCAAAACTGGGAAGCAGCTACAGTGAGAGAGTGATGGGAGGCTGACCATGCTCTGTAACACAAAGTGAATCTCTTCAGTCTGAGTTTTCCAGAGTTTTAGGACATAGTCACTGTGTTTTATTCACTAACTGGTCTTTGGCAGAGCTGGTAAGTGGGTTTCATCAGGCCAAATGTATATGTCTTCAGTGTAGGTATATACAGTTATATCACTTTTCTGAATTTTTACTATAGTCAATGGAAATAATATAATATTCCAGATCAGGAGTCATCTCAGCCCTCTGTAGACTTTGAAAACAGTTAAGATGAATATTGTTGTAGAAACACTTTTTTCTCTTCACTGATGGTGAAAGGCACCCAGCGAGGAGACTTGGTTCAGATGAGAACATGCTTTCTGCAGACACATAAAGGAAGGTGGGATGAATTCCCACGCTAACTGAGCAGGGGTCTGATGTTAGCCTGCTTCAGCCACAAAGTCACAGATATGAGAGGACAGAAATGGACAAAGAGATAACTTCAGAACTGGGCAGCTCTGAGTTCCTTTATGATCTGCTGCAGCAACATAGATGATAGGAAGTATCTGTGATCTTCATTAACAGTGTCTCCTTCCACCTTCTGCCCATGCTCTCAAGGATTCTCCCAAGAGGATTCTTCATTATGAAGCCAATTTGTCATGCACTTAGACACATGCTTGAAGTTGAGTGTCTCAAATGTTCTTTATGCTCCTCATTGGTTACTGGTTATAAAGCTCAAAGTTTACTTCCTAGTCTTCATGGTCTTCACAGGTGATAGGGAACGCTTGGTGCTCCATGGCTTTCCTGAAGAATTCTGTGGGACTGAGTTATTATGCAGGATTTTGAAACATTCAATGTAATGATATCCAACACTCAGCAACACTTGGTACATTCATATGAAGGATTTGATTAAACTCAAACACAACTCAGCTCTATACAATTGAAATAGTGCAGACGAACAATTATTTATATAAACGCAAGTTCAAAAGATTGCCCAGATGGCAAGGAGAAGGGAGGATATGTTTTACTTTAAAGAAAATGACTTTTGTTAAAAAGACTGCTTTGCAGTTAAATGCAACAACACACAGTTGAAGAAATTAAAAATAAAATATTGAAGAAATAGCTAACTAACCAATTTAATACAAAAAAAGAGTCTAACCTGATTCTGAGCAGTAAAGAACAATTATTTTGGTTCCCAGAGAAGGATATATAATCCTTCTCTGGATTAAATCCCAGTTAGTGCTGGGTAAGAAATGCTCAGTGTACCATTTTTCTGAGAGATTTGTCAAATTTCAAGTATGTTATAGATGTTAATTGGGTGAAAACTTAACAGAAAAGTGCAGAAATTGTTTTGATAAAAAGTAAAAGTGTTTTGATAATAACATGTTGCTTCTGTTTTGCCATTTTATTTTGCCTTTTTTACACACTGTAAAATTATGGATTTTTATAATGCATCACATTTACCAAAATATCTGTCTAAAAAATAGTACAAGTTTTCTAAGAACGAATTTTCACAGATAGAAGAAATTTTGTAATTTTTCAAATTTTTGTTCTAGTTCAAAATGAAAGAAATCCTAAGATATGAATTCTTCTAGAGAATAAATATTCTGTTTTGCACATAGTTCTAGTCTCAACACTTGCAGAGCAAATCACTTATGCTCCCATGGTTTCATTGGCACTATATATATTCAGGTGTAACTTTTTTTTCTTTCCATGTTCTAGAATTTTAATAACAAACCCAAAAATTAAGGTTTTCAAGTCCCCATATTGCTGATGAAAATTATACAACTCATACTTTTTTCACTGTGGCACTGCGAAGAGCAATACAGTTGTTTTCGATTACACTCCTTTACATTTCATATATTAAAACTGCAATAAAACATTTGGTTTTGAAGCCACCTTCTAAATTCATCACTGCAAAAGGTACTTAAGTCAACCTATTTATGTTATCATTGGGAGCTTAATAACCATTTATAAATTGTTTGAGAAGAGCAGAGAAACTGGGAATATATTATTTCACAAGAAAGACATGTTGACAAGAAGCACAGATGTTTGCAGTGCCCAGAGATGATAAATAAGGATCTTGAAAACTCTGCATCTCAACCATGAGCATGCAATAACATTTGGCAGGAAATTGTAATAGGAGAAATCAGGTCAGATGCTAAAATGAACAAAGATAATATTCTCACACTTAAATGTTAATTAGAAATTCAATTATTAAATAATTCTGGAAAAGGCAAGTTCAGTGTGATGTTTGGAAAAGATCAGTTTTAACAAATCACTCACAATTGTGTGAAAAATAAGCATGCAGACATCTTTGATTAATGAAGCCTTAGGGAAATAGTGCTGTTGACATGATTCCCTGTATGGACCACAATGGAATTATATGCCCTGAGTATCATGAACTGGCTTCTGTAGGCACAATGCCATCTTTGAAATTTTGAGTTTTGTTAAGTCTAAGAGGGGAAAAAAAAATATTGTCATTCTGTATCTTCACTTATATTTCAGTGAGGTGGATGATCATGATGGGAGAATTGAGCACTTGTATAATATTTTATGTAAGCAATCCTATTATGAAAAGGAGTTTCCTTTAAAATAAAATTTAAAAAACTCTTGTATAAAAAAATAAGATATTAAAAAATTAAATTAGCAACTGAGACAGCGTGCATGTATGGTACTCAATATAATGTCAATTTTTGTTTCAGGTGATCCGTAAAGGAGAAGTGAGTTGTTGTTGGACCTGCACTCCTTGTAAAGAGAACGAATATGTGTCTGATGAATACACATGCAAAGCCTGCCAGCTCGGCTCCTGGCCCAATGACGATCTCACAGGTAAATGAGTTGTGGCTGTGCTTATGTTGTCAATGAAAGCGTTCCTCTGCTGAGCTGAAGAAACAGATGCCAGACACAAGTGAGTATGTGGACTGTGAACCCGGGGGTAAAGCTGAAATTTGAACAGAGGCTGCTATTTGTCTTCTGTCCTCAACCTGATCCAGGGATCATTGGTATAATTCAGATGTTTTCTAAAGACATGAGTTACTAGATCTAGAAATAAATAAAAAAAAAATAGTCCTGGTTTTGTATTCAACCTTGTCCTAACATCTGGCTGGTGGCACAGATTTTGTCCTTCCCCAAACAGGGAGACAAATTAAGTTCTTGTTAGAGAAATTATTAAGGGAGGTCAAATTTCAGAGTTTTATTTTCTTTCCAAGCATGTCCACAAGAGTGGCACAATACTTTCTTTTTTAATCTGAAAGAGTTACTAACTAGTTGCTGTAGTTACTACTGATAAATACATGAGTGCTTCAAATAGACTTAGGTTTGCATTAGTCCTTTTTTCACTAGAGTCTGGCAGAATTCAAATTCTCTGCTAGGTTCAAATTCTCCAAGCCATGGCATAGTTATCTGTGCTCTTTCAGAATACCAATTTGGGTAATTTAGAGATAAATTACTCCAACATGTGTATCCTACAGCCTCTTTTCCTTATGACTAATAAAGAGAATTCAAGTAGTCAGCGCACACAGCACTTCAAAACACTCTTCAGGGATCAGGTTCTCATTGTGCCAAGCTCTGAATAGACAACAGGAGAAGAGAGGTTTTTTCAAGAGTTGTTCACAGACTTGGTTTGCATATAATTTCTATGAATGATGGTAGAAGTCTTTAAGGTGAAAGAGAGGGAAGACAAAGGGAAAAGCACTTTTCTGGATGAATTTATGTAAGTGGAAGAATGTCAGGCAATGCTTGGCCTATAGATAGATTTTTATATATGAAGTTAGCAATTTCCCAGTAAGGAATGTTGCATTGCTGCAATATATGAGCTAGATCAGCTAATCATTGCAAAAATATCATTTAGCCACCATACCAGACTGGTCAGTTATGAAGGTCAACCAGTGCAAATGGTCAACTTTTCAACCACCAAGGGTCTTGCCTGAGGTATGAAATTCCAGCTCATGTGTCTGTGTCAGTGAGCACCTGAGGTTATACCCAACATAGATCAGCTGGATAAAGAGCTAATCAGCTGAAAAAGAACTGACAATTTAGTCAGGAGGCAACTTACTCCAAGGACATCATCAAATCAACAGAGGATCCACTTCTGAAACACCAGTGATGAGAATGGCCCATTGACCTGGGGAATCATAGAATCATAAACTCATTTTGTTTGGAAAAGACCTGTAAGATCATGGAGTCAAACCATTAAAGTAGCAATGACAGGACCACGACTAAACCATATCCCTAACACCTCATCTACACTGAGGTGTAGACCTGGAGATCTTTTAATACCTCCAGGGATGGTTTCTCAATCATTCCACTGGGCAGATTGTTCCAATGCCTGACAATCCTTTCAGTGAAGAAATTTTCCTGATAACCAGCCTAAACCTTGTAACTTGAGGCCATTTCCTCTCCAAGTTTGGGTAATTAACTGTAAGAGCCCTGTGTAAGGTAAAGCGGAGTGAATAGCTACCAAGTAGGCCTTTGGGTTCTGTGCTTCGAGGTGGTTCCCCAAGGCATGCAGATCTCCATGCCTCAGGCAAGGCATCAGTTTGGGCTTGTGGGATGATTTACCCTCTGCAGGTCTTGTTTTGCCCTCAGGATAGAAGAGGAGAACAGGGTGGTACTTCGAAAGCTTTTGCAGGATGAGTTAGTGATTTTCCACCCAGCTCTGATTGTTTTAAAGGAAAGTAGCTGTCTTTTTAGCCATAGAATCATAGCACTGTATAAATATTTGGGTTGGAAAAGACCTCAAAGATCATCTAGTTCCAACCCCCCTGCCATGGCAGGGACGTCTCCCACCAGATCCGGCTGCTCAGGGCTCCATCCAGCCTGGCCTTGGACACCTCCAGGGATGGAGCATCCACAGC